GATTTTTATTCAGAATTTTGCTATTTTTCTATTTTTCTATATTCCGAGCGGTGTTATTCGAAGCCTGTAACAAAAATTTAAAAACCTGCACTGCGAGGCCGCACAGTATGAGCTATCAAACCACCGGAAACCTCGTTCGAGAACGAGAGTCCTTCGTCCGGACCCCGGGATCCGAAGATGGACGATCGATCAGTCCCGCCGTAATTTCCAGCATCTATTTGCAGTACGGTCGCAAATTACAGCAATCAAAATCACTTTCCCCCCATCGCGTCGGGGCCGTTCGAAAACAAGGGAGGCCACCGTCGAGATTAATTAATATCGATCGGGGTTCAAAGGTTTGTTAGCGTTGCCCGGAGGGGTGGAACGAGGGGGGGCATGCTCGACGTGCCGTGTCTCGAGATATGGATCTGCGCGGGCAACGTTCATTAAGCGATCAAGGTCGCAGCCAACGAGACAGCGGGAAAGAGAAATAGAGAGACAGAGGAGAGGCTCGTGGTGGATAGAGCACGAGATGTTGATAGAGAATGAGGACGGTCCCAGCAGTTCGCTCTTCCGCGTATTCCGCTGATTGCTGAATGGACGCGACGGCGGTGTCCTGTATGCGGAAATGGAAAGCTCGAACGAGCAATTCAAACCCTGGCGCAATGCACGGTTTTCCTAAATCAGCCGAATTGTTAAGACGATTCATCGGTGCTTCGATTTTCGGACGCTCGATGCTCGGTGACGACCTTTGCGGTTTTTGCTCTGTAGACTCGAGAATGAATTTCTGGGTTTTAAGTTCCTCTTAAGTTTTAAGTTCTCTCGTATTTCTTTCTTAAATATAAAAACATTTGTGCAACGGAAAATCAACAATATAATATAATATAATAATATAAACACTTTGAAGTGACGACTTACAATGTTTGCACTTTTGTGCGTAAAAGCTTGAGCGTGAAATTCCATAGAACAGTTGAATTTATAGTTTAAATTGTAATCTAAATTGTAATTTAAATTGTAAATTTAGAAATTAAATTACAAATTAAATTTAATCGTTATTAAATATAATCGTTACAAAAAATCGTTCGAAAACTACCCCAATCGAAAACTGCAAATATCCCCGAAGATTTTCTACTGAAAAAATAATCATTCCAGGGGAAATAAAAGACTGATATATCTTCGAACGCAATCAAATACAATATAAAATATGTATATTATATATCCGGTTATGTAATTTATTTATTTACCGAAATGACAAAGTCGGAGCTACAAATAGAAAAATATTGAGCGCGAGGTAGAAATCTATCAACACGCGTGAAACCTTCGTGTTGTAACTTATACATTATTCCAGTTTTCCTAGCGGACGATCTAAAAGATTTCTCAAATGATACCTGCAAGGTATAAAGTTTGAGAACCTAGCGGCAGCAGCAGTCGAAATGAAACTGGATGAAATGTGAGAAACATATCCAAGTGCATTCGATCCATGGGATACGTTCCCAACCCTTTTGTGCTGCTATGTCGAGCCAGACTCGTTCGCATTAATAGTTACTTATTTCACTGATTCACGTTATGCTCATGAATAACGCCACAATTGCGCCACGATTAAGTGGTACCCGAGCACAATTGAGTGGGTTCGAATCATAGTGGCGTTAGTCACATTATCCTCACTGCGAGAAACAAGGAGCGTTATTAACAGATTGAGGATTTTATGCGTCTACGACAAACGACGATCGGGTCAAATACAAATATCTAAGGTCATTATAAGGATTTGAGGATATTGTTACATTATTTTCTACTGTTTTATAATTATTGAAGGAACGAAGATATTTTCGACTAACTCGTGTTCCTTACGATTAACTTAAATAAGTTTTATTTCGCGTAAAGATCCGCAGTCTTGTTATTACTTACTAACACGTGTGTATCGTTTACGCATGTTAATTTATTGTTAAGATAATTTAAAGTTCAGTTGATTCAGAGTTAAGTTGATTGAGAATCAAAATGATTCAGAGTTAAGTTAATTTAGAGTTAAATTAATTCACAGTTAAGTTAATTTGCATTTAAGTTGATTCAAAGTTAAGTTAATTTACAATTAAGTTAACTTGCATTCGAGTTAATTCAGAGTTAACTTAATTTGCATTTAAGTCAATACAAAGTTAAGTTAATTTACAATTAAGTTAACTTGCATTCGAGTTAATTCAGAGTTAACTTAATTTGCATTTAAGTCAATACAAAGTTAAGTTAATTTACAATTAAGTTAACTTGCATTCGAGTTAATTCAGAGTTAACTTAATTTGCATTTAAGTCAATACAAAGTTAAGTTAATTTACAATTAAGTTAACTTGCATTCGAGTTAATTCAGAGTTAACTTAATTTGCATTTAAGTCAATACAATTAAGTTAACTTGCATTCGAGTTAATTCAGAGTTAACTTAATTTACATTTAAGTCAATACAAAGTTAAGTTAATTTACAATTAAGTTAATTTACAGTTAACTTAATGTACAATTAAGTTAATTTACATCTAACTTAATTTACAATTAAGTTAATTTACAGCTAACTTAATTTACAGTTCACTTAATTCACAATTAAGTTAATTTACAGTTAACTTACAGTAACTTTATAACTCATTTCACTTGCCTCTCGAACAATCTGACCTGCACGGATTCCATTATAAAATCAAATCGAAAATTTTCAAAAATGAAACTCACTCCACTGCGATTCTAACCCGTCCAATCACGCTATTCCAAACTGTCCTGATCAGGTCCGCAAAGTTGCATACACTTGGATCACAGTACGCTTGGATCACAGGACGCCACAGCGAATTCTGAAATAAAATGAATAAAACAACCATGCGCGACCCTCTCGGCATTTCCCGAACGTCCTCCGGGCGCGTCGAATGAATGAAAATTGTACAGAGACAGAGGACAATCGTTCGGCGAGGAGCAGCGTCCCTTGTATTCCGTTGATTGGTGAATGGGACGGGACGCGCGACAACGTCCTACACGCGGAAACGGGCCGTGGTTGCAGGAGGAAGCGGAAAGCTGTTCTCGACCCGCGTTAATCCCGCGGGTACACGCACGGGTTTGCACAGAGGGACGCGTGTTCCAGCGGACTCCCGAGCTTACCCCCGGCTCTCGTACCCGACGTCCAATAAAGCGGCGGGTCAACTGGAGTCAACCGTGCAGCTGTGTCCACTAGCCAGCGGCTATTACCTCGACTCATTATCACTGGGTCCCTCTCCTTTGTGCGCGAGCCTGTTCCACGTTTCGCGGCCCCGGCGTATCTCCGGCCGTAATTTTTCTTAATTGAAACGTCAGCGCGTAGAGACGTTCCTCTCGTCGCGTCGCGTCGCGCGCGCAATCAGCTCGCGGAAACTCGCGGAAACGGTTTTGACGGCGCTGAAAACGATCGGCGAGAGGGGACGATGAAAAGGACATGGTGCATATAGCGCGTCGACCGAGGCATTATTATTCGAATAAGATTTCCGAGGTGCGCGTCGCCGATGAATCAAATCGGTGCCAGCAGGTGTTCTTCGTTGCCGAGAGCTTTTTTTCTCTCGAGCCCGCCGGCATATGGGACTTCCTTCTCGCGTTTCTCGATGTTGGGCAGCCTTGAAGATTATGCTGAACAGTTATGCCGAACGTTACGTTCGCGACCCTCGTTTCGATTATCGCGCGACATCGGACGACCGTGGCTTATTCTCACGCGACCTATTCTCGCGGACGGGTTCAAGTATGAAACGGACTGCGGTAATGTCTCCCTAATTGACGCAGAAATTGTGCAGAAAACTGGACAATTTGGGAAGAGGAGATACGATTGTTCGAGCCTTGTGGCTTATTTTTGTAGTTGTGAATTGTACACGATTATATAAAAACGAGCCGCAAGGCTGGAATAATCGTAACTCCTCTTTCCAAGTTGTCCATTTTAGTGGACAATCTGAGCGTCAGTAAGGGAGACATTACTGTATGCACGTCTATACTTAGATTGTAGTTTTAGTGAAAACGAAAATATATTTTGAAATTTCAAGGTCTATACTTATATTGTAATTTTAGTGAAAACGAAAATATATTTTGAAATTTCAAGGTCTATACTTATATTGTAATTTTAGTGAAAACGAAAATATATTTTGAAATTTCAAGGTCTATACTTATATTGTAATTTTAGTGAAAACGAAAATATATTTTGAAATTTCAAGGTGTTTAGAATATTTTAAGGCCAGAATAAAAAAGAAACACATAAAATACACGAATATTATATATTATTATAAATATATATAATATATATAATATTATATTAATATTATTATAAATATATAATATATATATAATATTATATTAATATTATTATAAATATATATAATATATATAATATTATATATATAAATTATATGAAGTAATTTAGAGGGTGCTGTTGTTGGAAACGGGGGTGAGCGTTAAGGGGATGCGAACACCCTTTGTGATTCTACGTCGAACTCGATATTAACTATGATATAGTTACTTATTTTGCTGATTTACGTTTATATTTTCCTACGTAATCCGAGCGCTAATTAGGGAGAAATTACCGTTCGCAGGTAATGATCTTTGATCATGTCGCATGATTTCACCTGATTTCACGCGACGCGACATTGCTATGTTTTTTTTCTACCTTTACAAATGTTTGGTCACGTGCTACGATCCGCGTCATACGCGAAAATGTTTAACTTTCAGAACGATAATATCGCGGAATGTACTCGAGGAATCATTGTGAGACGTTGACATCGACGATTTCAATTCGTTCAATAACACCATTCGATTTTTACATCGTTATCGTACGTACGCGCGACGTTTCAATTATTCGCCGGCGATTTCGAACGATCTCGTCTTTTGATTCGCGTGACGTCACAGCGAACAGTTTTATCTTTGCCTCACCGAAACTCTTGGATTTTCTATGCACGCGCCGCACACGCGCTGCGTCCGCCGATGGATGCTTCGGCGCTCGTTCGTTCGGGTCTACTTTTATCTGAGCTCGTCTCGTTCTCTTGTTGCAGCAAGGAATGACGAGGTAGACGACGCCGGGCCAGCCGAGAACATCGACGGAGCCGAGCCTGAACATCTCAACGCAGGTGAGCCACGATTTTTTAGCTATCTCGGTGTAGATTGTTGCATCTCCAAACGAATCTGTTCTCTCGTTTAAGTCTTCGGTTACGCCAAATTTCTGTTAACATAATTATCGGCCACCCTGTATACAATTTGAATATATTTTGAACTAAAATTTCGTTGTTATTATCGTTATCATTATTATTACTATTATTATTGCTATTATTATTACTGTTATCTTGATATGATTGTTGCTATTGTACGATTTCTGTTAACATAACTATCGGCCACCCTCTATACAATTTGAACACATTTTTAACTAAAATTTCGTTGTTGTTATCGTCATCATTATTATTACTATTATTATTGCTATTATTATTACTGTTATCTTGATATAATGATTATTACTATTATACGATTTCTGTTAACATAATTATCGGCCACCCTCTATACAATTTGAACACATTTTGAACTAAAATTTCATTGTTATTGTCGTCATCATTATTATTAGTATTACTATTATTGTCGTTATTATTATTACTATTATTGTTGCTATTATTATTACTATTATTGTTGCTATCGTTATTACTATTATTATTACTATTATACGATTTCTGTTAAAATAATTATCGGCCACCCTCTATACAATTTGAACGCATTTTGAACTAAAATTTCGTTGTTATTATCGCCATCATTATTATCACTATCATTATTACTATTATTATTACTATCATCTCGCCACTATTTTTACACAACAATTAAATCCGCTAACTTCGTTTCTGCGTCATTGCTCCAACACAAAGCATTCGACAAACATCGTCAAGTGTCAAACGGTCAAGGCAGGCCCCGTGCTCTGGGTCCAAAGAGACCCGGCCGTGGCGCGGCGAGGGTTAACGCTTCTCGTGCAACTCGCCGAGACAGTTCAGCGATCGTCGTATCGCCGACCAAAGACCCCCGCGGCGTTCAGATAAAAGAGCGTTCTAAACGGTCTGTTCGCAGAAAGCGAGTAAAACGGTCCGCGCGCGCGCGCGCGCGAGCCCGGAGACATTTATCAGTGGCTCGTCAGGAGCGCACGAGGAAACGTTCGAGAGACGAGGCAGGAGGCAACACAAGCGGTCGCGATCGTGGCGATCGAGACGGGGGCAGACTCGGTTCAAGGTGCCGGTCGGCCATAAATCGCGTGGTCTAAAACTTTCGAGGCACTCTCTTGCGGCATTCCGTTCTCGGAACCGCGTCCTCCCGCAAAGAAACCGATCGGAATGGATTTTTCCGGCGGCGCGGCGCGGCGCGGCGCGGCGCGAGAATGTCGGATCGGCGTGACCGGGAATCGTTCTCCGCGGGCCCAACAATGCTGCGAGTCCGCTTCGCGCGGGCTTTACGACGATGGGCCCCTCGTCCTTCGGCCGATCCGAGCCGATCTCCGAGCCTAGTAATCCTCGGCCGGGAACGGCGAGCCGGTGAAAGTCCGCAAGAATTCGCCCTCGATCGTGTTGCGAACTTCACATTGAGATACTCGTGACGTGTCACGAACCCGTTCGGGACCGGTAATGAACGCCCCGTGTCGGCTGGCTCCGGGGACGAAAACGAACAAGCGAGCAGCAGCAGCAGCAGAAGCAATGGCAGTAACAGCAACAGCAGCTCCGAGTGCTCAGCGCCGGCCAACTACTCGTATCTTTCAGATGTCAGAGTCACGATTCTCATTCCAGACATACCTCGCCGGTGAGATCTCGTTCCGCGGGAACGCGAACGTTTCCGCTCGCGCGCGATCCCTCGCCGCGGATCAGAAAAATCGTCCTTCCGCTACATCGCTCCTGTATCGCCGGGATAACCGCGCGGATACCGTTTCGAATAATGCCCGCTAAATCGTGCCGATCCGGCGGAGAGCGCGGATCGAACGGATCGCTCGATCCGGCGTGGCGCACACCTATGGAACCTGTAATCGCGGAAAAATCGGTGCGCGCTGCTCCGCGCTGCTCCGCGCCGCGCTGCGCCGCGATCTCGCGATTTTTCGAACCGCGAACGCAATTAGCGGCGATCTACAGTTAGCTCTGCTTTACTCTTTTACGTCGGGAATCAATTACGGATAGAGGAAGTCTTTAATACGAGACGATAATCGAGCGATGTGAAAGGCTTTTCAGCGTCCGATCGCAGGCGAAACGGCGGCCGATTTTTCACCGGCGGAATGCAATCGGCATCGATCCGGTGAAAACGCTGCTGGAATCCGCGTCGGTTCCCGATACTTCTGTGCTTCGGGAATAAATTGCTGGGTATTTAACGCCGGGCCCGGCGATATTTCACGTACAGCTGTAGTTGTTGCTGCGACGAAAGAATGAACCGAGGAGACGTAAATTATAATGCGATGCAGAGGTAGAAACGCAACGCGATCCGATCCGTCCGAGGGAAACAATTTTGTCGAAACGACGACTCTCTGATTCGTTTGTTTCGTTCGATTCGGGAAAGGTGCGAAAATAACAGGAGAAAATTGTTCTCTTTTCGTCGCGTCGTGTAATTAAAATGTACGGACGATGATTCGCATCCGTCCGTAGCGTGATATGAGTCATCGTTAGAGCGCGGATTTTTATGCAATTGCATGTTTTCATAGGAAGAGCACACAGTTCCGAGACTTGGACAGAAATTTATTTGATCATGAGTGGATTCTAAAAATATAATTTCTAACCGCTTAGAAGAATATAATTTTCGACGACTCATCATATGATGCTGGCTCGTCGTATTGTTCTATGTTATCTATTTACTTTTGCTAATAATGTTGGAATTATCTTGAATTTCTCGACTTTATTTGGACGAGAATTATCCACGCAATAACGAAATGAGAATTCTTGACTCGCGAAATTAGCACTATAACTTGAAACGGTCTCGGAAAAAAATTAAATCTCCCATAATTATGTTAACATCCGGTAAAGAGTGATTCCTCAGGTCATTTGAAGCAACTTTTTCCTTAGCAAAAATGCAATCCGCGGCTTCGTTTACGAGTTATTGACGAAAAACGTTGACCAATGAGAGGAGAGCGCGGCTGGCGCGATGCGGCCGAGCCAATCAGCGGACCTGGGCTTCGACCGCTCGTTGACTGGACCGCCTCGCGTCAGTCGAGCTCTCCTCTCATTGGCCACTGTTTTTCCTTAATAACTCGTAAACGAAGCCGCGGATTGCATTTTCGCTAAGGAAAAAGTTACTTGAAATGATCTCAGGAATCGTGCCCTTCTATGTATTAACATAATTATGGGACACTTTGTATACGTCTCGAGTGAACATGTGCATACGTATTGAAACTTGAAATGACATTATCGGAAAGAACTTTCCGGTAGACCTGATATTTTATAAGGGGACAATTTATTTCCTCTTTATCTCCCCTTTTATTTTTGTCGTGTTTAATACGATGAATACTATGAATACGACGAATACAATGAACACGATAAATACGATGAATACGATAAGTATAACTACGAACGCTAGTGGCGCTGCTATCGGGCGTGCTAACGTTAACACAACAATTCGTTCGGAAAAATGATCGACGTGGTACGCGGCGTGGCACTTTATCGCATAGTTCGTGGAACACGGCCGAAAGAATTGCCGTCTCGTTGATACGTTTACGAGCCAGCTTTCCGGGAACGATTACTTCCGAAAACAGCGCGACTGCAAACAAGATTCGAACCGTGACAAACGCAAAGCTCCGGCTCGTGGATCCCCGAGGTAGGTTTCGCGCAGTTATCTAACTGGTCCGCAGATTAGCCGCAGCAACGTCTGCGCCGGAGTGCAAACATTCGAGAAGTAGCAGCAGCACAGTTGACATAATCTTCCTACGACCCTGTTACCGTATTCGCGCGGCCTTTATTCGTTCCGGTTATGCAATCCCGCGGAAGAAGTTCTGCCGGCGTTGCGCGGCGTTATTCCGCGGCTTGATAGTCGCCGTCAGCTCGTCGCTCTTTCGGTGCTTCGTCACGTGACCAACTTATTCAATTTCTCATTCTCGTTTCGTCGCCGTTTTATCGGCAGTGTTGCCCGCCGCGCGTTTCCGGTTGGCTCTCGTTATCGGGAATGCCGACGAGCGGTCGGCCGCCGCCGCGGAATAGAAACCGAGCCGATAAGTTCGCGATTTCGAAGATAAAAGGATCGGCTGACATCGTCGCGTGGCAATGATGTCATCGATCGAGATCGTCGACGACGGAATAACGTGCCGGCAAAGGTGACCGTAGGCGGCGACGGTGCAAGTAACGCGTTTCTCGAAAGTTCACCGGCGATGCGTTGTCGCGACCAGAAACACCGAACCGGTCGAAATGGTACTGGTCGCTGCTTTTTCTTTCTTTTCGCAGTTCCCGATATTGTAGAAAGGTTTCTGGGAGAAATTTTTTGATAAACTTCTTCATATCCAAGCATTGTATATTCCATATTATATTATTGTGTTATTATATATTCCATATTATCATAGAAATCGGCAGGATTTATTTATTTATTTATTTATTTATTGAATATGTACGGGAAGTCATTCATTAGATATAAAATTGCGACAAAAAACGTGAAGAATACAGAGGTATTTTTTACCTTTATTTTAGTATAAATTAGTCTCGTTAAGAGCTCGGTAGTTCCAGTGTTAAAAAGTCGTCCCCGGATTTTCATTAATCCCTTGCACTACGATTTTTTTTATAATTGTGCCGGTTAGCAGTTCTTCGTTCTTAATAATTGCCCTGGTAAAAAACAATGCAAGCATTATATATTCTATATTATATTATTATGTTATTATATATTCCATATTATCATAGAATCACAAGAAGTTAGAATAAATCCAGTCTTGCTGTTGTTATAAGACAGGTTTATTTATTTATTTATTTATTGAATATGTACGGGAAGTCATTCATTAGATATAAAATTGCAACAAAAAACGTGAAGAGAATACAGAGGTATTTTTTACCTTTATTTTAGTATTATTAATCTTTTTTATAATTGTACCGATTAGCACTTCTCCGTCCTTAATAATTGCTCTAGTAAAAAACAATGTAAGTACCAATGCGTC